ACTTTAAATATACCACCGAAATATGGCGGGCGATGCAAACAATCACTATAAGCACCAGAGGGCGCCTCAGGATATTTGTCCTCCGGTCCTCCGTTGCCGTAATTCTTGTAAAATGCGCCAGTTGCAATTGCAATTATCTTGAGTGTGTGGTTCGAGTTCAGGGACCATTTGATGTTCGGTTCCGTCGCCGTGTACTGCAGAGCGTTAAGACTGGACTCCTACACGTCTCTTCCGCCATATGTGCTATCCACGTTGCGAACGGCGGCCAGGAACTCGGTTTTGTTTGAGGTGGATAATTCATACCGGTAACAATAACTTGCATTTGCATTGTGATTTTCAACAGTTGGGTAATCTCCGAACGTTGTAAGGTGTAGAATGGTGGATGGATCTTCCTTGATCAACTTGTCAACAATGAACTCAATTTTTGGCATGGATTCATCCAGATATGACTTGTTGTCCCTCCTAAATTTTTCTGAAAATTTATTCAATTCTATTATACAAGATTAATTTAAGTAGGTTGTCCCATTACCCGCTAACCACTACACGTGTCAACACAAATATTAACTCATTGCCAAAATAAGGTAGGTTTACATACATAATTATCGGATGAAATGGATGTTAATTTTATAGTTAACAAAATTGTATAAGGGCATGGAAAACTTGTTTTATCTTGAAACTCAAGAAATCTATCGGGGTTTTGTATATGTATGTTGGACATTGAAGGATTATAAGGGGCATTGAATAAGATTAAAAATATGACACGTTAAATCGTCACATTATGACAGCAGTGATAACTGTTGTGACTTACCGATAAATGTTTGTGTTGAGTCAATTGAGAGCGCAAATTCATATCGGACTTTGCACGTGCATGCTGCTTCTCTAATTATAGGCATGATAAGATTATTAATCCCTTTCGCACTAATGCCGTCAAATCCAGAAATTTCCAACATATGATAATTTTCTGGAAACCGAGCATCTTTAAAAAAGTTTTTATACTCTGAATATATCTCCGGGATTAGGAGACCAATCAACCTGATGCGATTCTTTTTTAAATCCAAGGCATCGGTTAACATTTTCTTAGGAACCGGGCTTTGTTCGCAGGGCTCCTTATTGTTTTGTCCGTCGGGTGAAAGTAGCTTGTATTCAGGCCCCCTTTGCTCATTATCGTCCTCGGCCCATTTCCATTTATTGGCGGAAACGAATACAATCACATTCGTTCTCGGTTCAAAATTACCCCAATTGAAGACGTAGTCAATTGCTGTGAAATAAATCGCATTAAGCACGGAATCTCTTTCATCTGTGTGGTTCCTTGGTAAAATGTTTTCCGGGAGTTTATGTGATGCTTTTGATCTCAACGCGTTGGCAGTAGCGACGAGTTCGTAGCAATAAAATCCCGAACTATGTGGCTTGTTCCATATATGGTAAATTATTTTAATCGTTTTTTTTTCTATTGGAGACACTGCAATTTTTGTCATCTTTCAATCTCCTTCAATTAGTCGCTTGTTGCAGTATTACAGCCTTCCATTGGACAGATTTTGGAGCACTTTACGAGTTCTGATATGTAAACAGGTAGAAATCCTCATCTTTTTGTGTTGAAAGAAATTTTTCATATTTAGAAATTCATTTTATTCTGTTATTTGACGAATTAAAACTAATACAAACATCGCCGAGATTGCCAGAAAAAGTGACAGCTTGAAACGAGAAAGATTGCTGCGACACCGCCTCTGAACCAAGTGATCGAGTTTTACTGTATTAAAAGGTGAAAATATTTTCTTTCCAAGCAAAATTTTAAAAATATTACTGATGAGTTAAGTATTTCGGTATTTCGGTATTTTTAACTGTCATTTATTCTATGTATGTATAGAGATGGGAACACCAATTCAATCGCTTCCGGACACCTGGAAATTGAACAATTTACAACTTTGTCTTATCTGACTTGGAGGCCATCGAAGCCAATTATCCAGTTTCTACATAGTTTATCATCACAGCCTAATCTTCCAAGTAGCAGCTCGAACATAGGCGGAACTAATTTAAGTTGGCCCACAAATCTACATAACTCTACAGACGGCTGTCAAAAATACTTTCCGCAGTAGAGCAATTTAGTTATTCTAAACGTAAAATGTTTCGTTGTCCAGAGTGTAAAAACTTTATTAAGTAGCTTCAGCTACTTTATGTGAAGACTGTGTCTATTAGTGGACAACGATCTTGTACAAGAATGTTACGTCTGTATGCCCATTGGTCTGACAACTTTGGAACTAACAGACATACCGACTAGAAATTTTGAACGTAAACTTCTCACGTCAAGGACAGGAACAGTTGCGCAATTAGCATATAGGCAAGGTAGGAACTATGGGCCCCGCGACATCAAGGGGCCCCCACCGCTGCTAACCATAATTTACAAATTTAAAAAATTTTATTAGTTATAGAAACCCCTGATCGACAAATTTAATCGATCTTAAACTTTTTTCATTGTAAGTTTTATGGTCTGTTTTTCAAAATTAATATGTATATGTTTGAAGTTTAAAATCAAACGGTTATCAAATACCTACATAAGTATGCACATTTTTGACAAATTTTATGTCAAAAAATATTTAAAACAATAATTTTAAAACGTTTAATATTTGATTCTATAGCCAAAATCTGCGTATTCCGTTTCGAATTTTGGAATGTAACAAAATTTATTTTAAATGCTAAAATGCAGAAAAAGCAAACATACAAAACATACAAAACATACATTACACATGAAGTAGAAATAAATGGACAGCTTTCATTTCTTGATGTCACTCTTATACGAGACCAAAATGAAAAACTGCGGAAGAAAGTCTACCGAAAAGCTACGCATACTGGTCGATATCTAAATTATTCGTCTTACCATCATCCTTCACATAAAATCTCAGTAATTGATGCTTTGTTATATCGGGCATTATTAATTTCTGACCCAGAATTTTTAGATGAGGAGGTCGCACACGTGAGGATACAACTTCTGAATAACGGTTATCCCAATTCCTTGATCTCCTCCCGATTACGTCGAATGGAATCTAGAATAATGAATCAAGACGAGGAACAGGAACCGAAAAAACGTATGATACTTCCATATATGGGTCCAGTGACACACCACCTTACCACATACCTCAGGAGAAAACTGGACTGCGATTTCGGTTTCATTCCTGGAAAGAAAATTGGTAACCAAATATGCTCGCACAAGCAAAAAGAGCCACCGAAACAAATTGGTATATATAAAATTGAATGCGCCACTTGTCCATCCACCTACATCGGAGAAACATCGCGATCAGTGGAAGAAAGAGTTAAGGAACACGTACGAGATATAACAAAGAAAAATCTCAAATCTGCCGTCGCTCTACATATAATACAAAATTCATCCCACAAAATAAATCAAGAGTCAGCAACTCTAATTAATAGGGAACCAAGATATTTCCATCGGAAATTCAAAGAAGCATTATTTATCAAAAACACTCCACATAGAATGAACAGAGATATGGGGATGGACATCAATCCTATATGGAGTTCATTATTACTTCCCCTTACATCGAAGCTGATAATTCCACCAGCGCCACGACCCCAGCGTCCGTGACAACAACTTACTGTCAACAACTATTTTGCTATTTATTACCCATCTTATTTCTTCACTAAACTTTGTCAAGTGTAAATAATTATTGTAATTATTTCTAACCACCTCAAGAAGGAAACAGTTGTTTTCCGAAAGCGTGTGTTAAAATAAATCACTACACAATGTCATCCATACGATCTGTCAATCCACCTCTTAAACATACAAAACTTTTTTGGTCATCTGCCTAGGGGCCCCCAAAATATAGTTGCGCCACTGGACAGGAAGGGCTCAAAGATGAAGGTCACACCCTGCAAGGCCAAAAACGGTCAACATATGCCAAATCTGTGCATCAATTTAATATGAAACTTAGCCCCGACTTCAATGGTGATCCTCAATTTGGACCTCAATCGTCACGACAGATCACTAAAAGGTTTCCCACTTTTAAATTTGATAAATATGTTTGTCACAAATGTTTAAAAGCTTTGAAAAAACAATGTGATATTCAACCTGACGTATGAATGATACAGTTGAGTTGAGTTACGCTGTGACCACCCCTTTGTTACATTCGTTGTAACGGTTTATTCTATTTATTCTATTTTTATTTTAGTTATTTCGATTGCTAGTGTAATATTTACTTGCTAAATTTTCTGAAGTTCAGTTAAATCGAATCCTATTTATTAACTGAGAAATTAGTTTAACCGATCCGGGAAAATTATTGATGAAAATAATTCTACCTGGTCGGAACGGTAGTTGGTCAGCTTTGTACTAACGTATCATTTATTTTCTGACTCTTATGAGACCTTGAGAGGAAAATTATTTTCATTCATAATGAAAACATTCATTATCAAAATCCATCAAATGGCAGAAAGTGAACAGGTATGGCTGAGGTCTTTTTAAGGGCATTTAAGCTCAACTATGTACATATGTACATACATCGTTTAGCTCAAATACACATGCATAATTTGGTGCATTGACTATAAAAAAGGGTATCAATATTTTTAACCTTTGGTACGCATGTAACCCGTATTTATTTACCTATGTATGTATGTAGAGGCTTACCTACGGATGTAAATACATACAGGGTGGTTAAAATGTCACGCCACAATGGAAAATTTTTCAATGGGAAAAGTCCCTAAATCTCTATTAGTTACAAGATTTGGGATTGAGATTTTTATAAATTATTATCAAAACTGATGACAAAATTCTTAAAATGTTGCGTTTTAGAGACAAAATTTCGGCAACTAATGGAAATTTATGGATTTTTACCATCGAAAAATTTTCCATTGTAGCGTGACATTTTAACCACTATGTATATATGCATGCCATTGCATGCATGTGAAGACTCTATCGCAGACTCAAATACATCCTCCGTCAAACATGTGTATGGAGTGCAACACGTTGCAGTTATTTTAGTCCGAAATACTCAGAAATCAAGTTATTTAGTACCTTGCCACTTGGTCACCTCGTGGTGAATGTGCCCAGTAAGCCACCCGTTCATCAAAAGGTGAAAAAGAATGTTAGATCAGTACCATATTTAACTCCACTTGTGAAGCACATTTCTAACTAAAGTGTGTCATATTTACATGCAAATATTGCAACAAAAATATGTTTTCGGCCATACACATAAACATATCTACTTAAATTTAAACTGTGTAATAAGACCGGAGTGAAATAATTTGTACTCATAACTCGTAAGTTTTGCGAAACCCATAATTACAACGCACCCCTCCCCCCCAAAGTAGGCACGCAATGAGGCAAAGTGTCGGCAAAATACCAACCCCCCTTGAGTGCCCTGTCTGCCAAAAACATTTCCCCACTAAATCGTGTCTTAACAAACACGTCGCTATCCATGACGACAACCGTGGGATTAAGTGTGAGGTAAATTTCCCTATTTAGATACGGTCAACTTTTGTAAATAAGTAAATGTATTGATTAATCTAAATTAATTTCTTTTCCAGATTTGTGGAAAGGTCGTGAAACACTTGAGGATCCACAAATCAAACGTGCACAAAAATCGGATCCGACCAGCGTGTGAGATTTGCAACAAGACATTTTCCACATCACAAAATTTACGCGTGCATAAAGACGTCTTTCATAATAATAATGGCACAGATCGTCCCCGGTTGCCGTGCGGGTATCTCGGTTGTGACAAAACTTACCTGACAAAGGCCAAACTTAAAAACCATGTTGGACAGGTACATTCCAAAAATCCGGTCCGATTTCTGTGCAAACTTTGCGGGAAGGAATTAAACTCAGAACAATCACTGGAGCAGCACATTGCTACTCACACGACGGAGAAAAGCTTAACCTGTCCCGTTTGTGGGAAGGGTTTCATACATTTATCTAACTTGAAGCAGCACCAGGTAAAGCGCACTTGTCGAACAATACGATGGTGTGAAGTGTAACCCTCGGATTTGACTGAAATTTTGAACTTATGTGGTCCAGGTCAATATGATTAACGTTTTTTCAGACAGTTTGTGCGATGGTCCGAATTAATCTAAATATTTCAGGTCAAAACTCAAAAATTGACGATTTTTGCCTTTGAAGGGAATGGGAGTGGGGTTTTCTTATTCTGCTTGATAAAATTGCCCATTTTCACATTTGACCTCAAATATTTTAACAAATACTGTCCACCGCACAAATTTCCTCAACAAACGTTATTTGAATGGACTCCGATCACGTAATTTCAAAATTTCAACCAAATCGTGTTGTTACACTTCACACCATTGCATTATCAGACCGTACTAACCTTACAAAGACAACTTTATTTTTAAAAGTGTGATTTACCCGAAAATCCTGACAAATCATGAAATATTTCAGTTGACCCATCGAGACAGATCAGCTCGGAAGGAATTTCTATGCAAAATGTGTCCCCGGACTTTCCTCAGCAGATTGGGCCTCATCTATCATATCAGAACTTTTCATGAAAATCAGAAACATTCATGCGATCAATGTCCCAAAAACTTCGTTACGTCCTCCACCTTGAGACGACACCGAGCCGAGGTCCATCCTACCAACTTCGAGGGGGGTATTTCTTACGCGTGTGACAAGTGCGAGTACCAGAGTCACCTAAAATATCGGCTGAACATCCACCGGATTCGGCAACACGTTAGAAAGGGCCACATGTGCTACTTCTGTGGGAAGGAGTACTTCACCTACATCCACTTTACGAAACACGTGGCCAGACATAATCTGGAGGTGTAAACCTCACCGGACTTTTAATTGAAATCACATAACTTGCCGAATTTGCCGTGCTTTAATTCAGTTTTAAAACTGTACCTGCCAGACTTTTCAAAATTATACACTGTATTCAATTTAAAAATTTACCTTTGAACAATTAAGGAAAACATCAGAAAACACAAGTTGTTTAAAATCTCGTAGATATTTCTAGACTAGAATTTTAGTCATACAATACGACTAGCGGACCTAGCGGACTCAAATGAAGTACAGGAAAATTGTTCAAGTGATTTCCAGGAAAATATATAAACTCTCAAACGAATGTGGGGCGAGCATTAAGAATAATGATTACTTACTTTACGTGAAATTTCCATATAGCTTTTTACAATAATTTTATTGTATAATATACATATTAGGTATAATTGATTTAGTATATTTACATACGTGTGGAAATGCAGAATCACTCCGTGAAGTGGGTAGAATTATGTAACATGATGATGTCTGATCAAGAGAATCAGGCAAGTAAATTCTTACTGTCATGCGAGAATACATGTAATGTTATTACGCAATTGAATAAACTCCAAAATTATTTAAATTGATTCTTTTGATTGCTAGCTTTAAATTTTTTATTTAAAGAAATCCGAGTGCTACACTTTACACTATTGCAGCATAAATTACCTTGATAAGGATAACCCTGTGTAAAAGTACGAGCCTGGGATTAATGTTTGCTATGCTGATGCACGCATATGTCCATATATTTATCTACTTATATGTGATGCCCATTAGCCATAATGACATGCCTGTGTATGTTCAGTTAATATATTTTTATTCAACGTTCGATGTTATATTACTAAATAAACTCACAATTGACATCTCCCAACGTATGTAACATTTTTGGCACAAACTAGCGTCAATCGATCACATGCAAAATTCGTATGAAATTTGCAAATGGAAATATCTGCCAATGGGCTGGTTTGGCGGAAATATTTGCATACAAAGCGGCAAAAATATGCAGCAAATTCGGACAATGACAAATTTGCCAGCTATAGGGGTGCGTTTTCTTCTCTTTTTATGCATATATCTTTGCTAAACTTGAGCATTGGAAGATAATGCCAGTTGCAAATTTCGAAAACACCCTAGTTGTATTACTCTAAATGGATTTATCGACAAATTTCCAATAATGTAAATGCAACTCGATTCTATGTTCGGAAATATGTCGACACAAATACAAAGAGATCAACGTTGATCAACGTCAACGTTTTGCACGAGTATGATTAAATACGTAGTAAGTTTTTTGTGTACATATAATTACTACACTCAAAACAAAACGGTGTCAATACATATATGACTTTACTGCCTTGGTTACAATTGTGATTCCGAGTAGTATGATTTTTTTCCGTCCGGTCATAACATTATATCTACCTGTATAAAAATCAGCAAAAGTCGGATTTAACATTGTAACCAAGGCGGTTAAGTCATATATTGACACCGGCGGTGTTGATCGGACAAATTTTTATTTTAAGTGTATATAAGATTAGTAATTTAGTTATGTATTTATATCTCATTCTCTTCTCGATGTGCATCGCGCAATATGAAACCCAACATTTATAAAAAGCATTCTAAGAGAATTTGAAATTTTAACAGCTATCCGAAGGATCGCCCAGTACATGCGTTTTCGCAATTCTACAACAACACTCAAGATGGATGACCCAATCAGGATCCCACACAGTATGAAAAGTGTAAGAATCGCTCCTCCCAATCGCACCTTGTCCTCCTCACTTTTCACCATTGCGTGTTCAGAATTCCGTGAATGTTTCCTTTTTAAATTTTCCATATCTAGTCTTCCCTGAATCCCAGATTCAAATAGATATTGGAAATATTGCGGCACTTTCGAATTTCCCTCGCCTTCAAACGTCCATGTGATCAGGATAGAATTTAAAATTTCCTTGCCCTTGTAAAATTTTCTGCGAGAGTATGTTTTCGAAATTTCGTTAAACCTAAAACCTATCTCAAATGAGTCGACAACAAGGACAGATTTTCCGCACTTAACAACTTCAGTGGTAACTGATGTCTTCAACTGCAGCAGGATGTCCGGTGACGTCTCGAACTTTTCTGTGTGGTTGTAGTTTCTTGGGACGAATGTATTGGATCCTCTGATAAATTGGAGGATTAACATATTTTCCAAGGAAACGACTTCCATCAATCTTATTGTCGGTTGAATCCTGAGTAGATAGAGCTCATTAAAGGTCTCGTGCATAAAATCTAAAAACTCAAAAGTGCGGCCTTTCGGATCTGATAGTATTTTATAGCGCAACGTCGATTCAACAATTGGTACTTTCTTTGCCGTCTGCAATATCCAGTCGGTTAGGTTCGCCCCTTCTTTGTAGGACTTCAAAATCCCGCTACCTTGGCAAAGCAAATCTTGAAAAGTTTGTGGTATATTTCTATTTGGCAGGGGTGAATTCAAACTTGAAATCATTAGCCCATTATAGCAATTGGTTAGTACTACCGACATTAAAATCCAGCTGCCTATCACTAGCCTAAAAAATTGCTGTTTCTCTAATGCTACAGGTACGTGGCCAGCTTCCTCGAAAATATTTGCTAAAACAAATGACCATGGACTGAAACTTTTGTAAGATTGATGATTTTGGAGCTTTGTGTACACACTAAGAACAAGAGAAAGCAAAATCACGGAACAAATAAATACTATCCATAATATAGATTTAAATGGATCCAGATAGAACTTAAACGACAAGAATGAATCGGACTAGCAAGTTAAAAATTGGTATCCGTGAAATTTAAAGGGCACTAATCGAATCAAGTTAAATCTGCTCAAAGCAGCGTCCACATAGTATAGACCTAACCTCGCCCCATAGTTGAAATTATACCCGCGACGATCATAAATTACGCTTGCGTTTGCATGCCGGAACACAGTTTGCAATATATAGTTGTAAACAGGTGAACTTTCCAACGGGTTAAATGGGTTAGGATGATAAACTAATTGGTTGAAGTCTAGGCGCTGAACATTATCAAATTTAAGTAAGTTATCCCGATACGCGTCAACTCTCCAATGGACTGGGATAGAAAGTAAATCTGTAAACAATTTCGTTATGTCTTCAACTCCCAAGTTCTTGCAGTGCATTGTAGAAATCTTTTCCGACATCAAGCCGATGGGTTGGACGCATAGATGGGAGGTTTGGTTTAACGCAAGGAATAATATTCCAAAATTGTCCAATAGCGGCTCCCCAGGTAAGAAACGTCTGTATGAATACAAAAAGATATTTTCCAATCGGGATTTTTTCTTTACCGATATCAAGATTTTGATGACGTCTTTAAATCTGATTTCGTAATTGGTTCCAATCAGCTGATAGTCCGCTGCATCCAACCAAAATCTCAAATTTTGTTTCCTTGAACCTGACGTTTCATTATAATAATACGCAAGGACAAGGAAACTGAGCTTGCATTTTGAACCACCACCCCCAGATAACCACTGTCTGACAACCACCCCCAGATAACCACTGTCTGACAACCACCCCCAGATAACTACTGTCTGACAACCACCCCCAGATAACCACTGTTTGACAACCACCCCCAGATGACCACTGTCTGACAACCACCCCCAGATAACCACTGTCTGACAACCACCTCCAGATAACCACTGTCTGACAACCACCCCCAGATAACCCCTGTCTGACAACCACCCCCAGATAACCACTCTCTGACAACCAACCCCAGATAACCACTGTCTGACAACCACCCCCAGATAACCACTGTCTGACAACCACCCCAAGATAACCACTGTCTGACAACCACCCCCAGATAACCACTGTTTGACAACCACCTCCAGATAACCACTACAAATCTGTGAAGTGAGCACGTGATCACTTCACACTTTTTGACGGTGGTGACGAGACACAAAAGTGTGAAGTGATCACATATGTGTTCACTTCACAGTTTTTGGAAGTATTGACAAGACACAAATTGCAGTGCTCACCAGTGCACACTTTACCAATGAATTATCTGGGGGTGGTTATCATGGGTGGTTATCATGCTGTGTTATCTGGAAGTGGTTATCATGCTGTGTTATCTGGAAGTGGTTATCATGCTGTGTTATCTGGAAGTGGTTATCATGGGTGGTTGTCATGGGTGGTTATCTGGGGGTGGTTATCATGGGTAGTTATCGTGGGGGGTTATCTGGGAGTAGTTATCGTGGGGGTTATCTGGGGGTGGTTATCGTGGGGGGTTGTCATGGGTGGTTATCTGGGGGTGGTTATCATGGGGGGTTATCTGGGGGTGGTTATCATGGGTGACTTTATTTGTTTTCACTTCGGCTTCCGACATTCTTTTGCATCTGATAATTCTCGCTCGCCCGGCGGGAGACGGGCTTATACGCTAGTAATTGATACATTTATTTTTCAACATCTTATTTAATTCAGTGAAAGAATCCTAATATTTTTGTGTTATATAGATCTCAGGATCATCGTATTTAGTCAAAAATAACGCATTGCAAGTCGAATTAGGTTCAATTAATGTTATGCTAAAGGTTTGGAAAGTGTTCTCTTAGTTTTTGAACATGTAATGTAAAACACTGGAGAAGAAAAGTTCTAAGCCTAAGTTTGCTACGTTCTCTCAATTTGTTCATTCGAACAACGAGCTCAAGCTTAAATTTGCTGGTAATTTAATTTTTAATAATTTAAAATGTACTGTACAATCTGTTCTCTTCCGCTCAAAGTGTTCTCCCCGCATTGCGGGTTGTTGGGGTAAGAAATTCCAGGTGTAGCACAATAAGAGAGGATGGTAATTTTTGACTGCTTGTCAACCAGTCCAGAATACCAAGCTGGCTCATACGCCTCCTTGCTAAATCCCTTCAATGTATTAGACTTTCGGGCCGGTTACAATTCTGGATGCCCATAGGGACTTAATTTATTGTTTACGGTATTTGGGCTAGAATTCAAAATTTAAGCATTTTTTACCTTCCTATGCATGACAAAACGTCGAATGTCGAAAAAACTGAGTTTTTCATACATAGGAAGGGCAGAAATTCTTAAATTTTGAATTTTAGGCCAATCGACCAACTCTAAGTCGGGCGGCCTTAGCATGGTGAAAAACAGGTCAAATATCGAAAAAACTTGTTTTGTCATGCATAGGAAGGTAAAAACTGCTTAAATTTTGAATTCTAGCCCAAATACCGTTAAAAATAAATTAAGTCCCTATGGGCATCTAGAATTTTAACCGGCCCGAAAGTCTTATACATTGAAGGTATGTAGCAAGGAGGCGTATGAGCCAGCTTGGAATTCTGGACTGTTGTCAACCATTATCCCTCGTAGGGCAATGTGTGATTTTTGAGATCTGGCTGCCGGGGCCCACTGTATTTTGTTTCTATACAATACAACGCTCCAGATATGTATACTATATGTAATTTTGAAGATTGATTCCAAGGACTAATTTATTATATCGCAAACTCTACAAATTTTTGAGAAAATTTTTCAATATCAATTATACTTGAATTTAAATTTATATGGATTTAAAAAATAGGATCCTGAACCAATTCATCATTTCAAAAAATATAATTAAGCTTGGAAAAATCGTGGCTCGTTTCCAATCACTGTAACATTATTGGATTCGTTTTCTTTGTTACATCCCATGATAGCCGATCTGAAAGTTGCAGATTTATATACGAGTCCTCCACCTGCATGAACACATGTGCTATTTCCGGTAAAATCTGCCGTAAAATATAAAGTCCAGCTTGAAGTTCCCGATGCGATCGCATAGTCAGCCACAAATCCAAAATTATGGGCGGCCCCAGTTGTGAAGACTATTTCTGCCCCAGACGCGCTGTCGAGGTCGTAAACAGCAAGGGCTGGGGTGTCAGATTCCAATGGTCCTGCAAATCTGAGTGACGATGCTCTCCGTGGTGTAGTAGAATTGAAACAGGTTGGCACGGACCTGTAGCTTGAGTGCGTAATGTAGGGGGAGAATCCCGTTCCGCTGAAAAACCACCACCTAAAAATAAAAATAAATTAGTTATTAGCAACCTTATTAATGAAGTATTGGTACTATCCCATGAGGTGTTATCCCTCTGGGGTCCTCGTCAATCACAAAATTTAACATAATTTTTAATCTACCATCCTCGAGCCTTATATGATTGTACCCCGGGAAGAAAGAAATTAAAATTTTGTAAGTTGGTCTCCTTTGTTTGGAAGATCATCCCAGCGCCGGTACAGTCAAGACCGTGGTAAAGGGTCATTTCCTGGATGAATCCTGCGCATCCAGCGATTAAGAGGAGTACCGTGAAAATAGTTTTATCCTTTGAAGAAGGCATTATCTTTTATAGTTTGTGGATTTTGTAGCTTTGATCCAGATATGTGTCCTAGATCGGTCTGTGATCAATAATGTGTCGTGAGTTGGATTTTATACCCGAGTGAAGTGTAGTTGGAGCATCACCAGTTTTTGTTCGAGAGTCTAATACCTTATATTTTCGTTGAATTGGATTCAAATTCTATGAAAATTGCCCATATCTATTTTGCGCACGAACCCAGAGTGGAATTTATTCTTCGAAATGGAATCAAATTCAGTTAAAATAATATTATCTGAAAACACTGCGTCCAATCTAGCTTCTCAGAATGTTCAATTATAGATAGGGTAAAATATGTTAACAGTGTTCCGCTTAAAATATAAAATGCACCTGGGATTCATTATTGTTTAATGGTTGCAATTCTATTGTGGGATAGTTTTTAAAAAACATTTTTCGTGGTGATGAATGATGCATGGCAGACGATTTTAATCGTCAATTAAAATTGAAATTCTTGATAAGGCATAGTGGATTTTGGAGCACTGTCCGTAGATTGTGGAATATTGCGAAATTGAGATAATGAAAAATTCAGAGAAATTTTAACCTGTGCTCAAATAGTTTTAAAGCGTTACGTAAATGATTGATTGTATAAAACTTGATAAGAACTTGTACCTTGTCACAAATTAATTGGATGGTTCAGTGTTATCATGGCCTGGTGACACAGTATGACAGCTCAAGTGAGGTCATTAGTTATTTTGCGATACTTGGTTCTGACGTTAAGCTGAAGAGGGGAACTTTATCACCTGTCTCTCTCCACTTTTCGTGCCCTTTGGACATTTTGCAATATACTAATAACTCAATGTGCTACCGCCGCCGGCCTGGCTGCCTCTCTTAATGCGTAGTCTGGACACCCCACATGGTGACCCCATGACCACATTTCCGCCTGCCAGACCCGCTTAAATGGACCAAAAGCACGACAAGAGCCCTGTTTCTACTAGTCCAAACCCTGCCATAAAATCCAATTTTACTCCGATTTGGAAAATTCTTGCGCCAATATATACACTCCCAGGTAGTTGTTGTATCAAGTCAAATATGAAATTCGACGTTTTTTGAAGTTTTGGATTTTTCGAAGGGTTAGGAAATTTGCAAACATATTTTAAAATTTAAACGAGCACTCTAATACTGTTATTTTGCTGTTTTTAATCTCTTTCAGTTTCTGGTGTGGTGGGCACAGATAGAGCCAAAGACTTTGGGCTTGTTGTTCACTCATGGGATCCTACATATACCAACAAAATATCCAGAGCTGAGAGGCACATGGTGCAGCTCTCCTCCTGAGTTCATATTTTATTATGTATACACATATGAATAAGACCAGCGTAAAACCAATCGACGTAGATTTTTTTGTTCTTATGTGTTCAAAGCATGCATGCTCACACTCATTCGTTTAATGATGAATTAATAAATTATTCATTCAATTTCCAAAATTTGAATGAATATTGTATGAATATTTTATTCTGATTTTTGAATAAATGAATGTTGAGTGAATATCAATTCAATTCGTGTGAATGAATAACGAATGAATATTTTCTTCATCATTCATTTTTAACTAAATGCTTATTTTAATATATATGGAAAGTTCAGAAATTCATCTAATACTGTGAATTTTGAATAACATGAATAATGAAGGAATGGTGAATAATGAATAAATGTGAAATAATTAATGAATATTTTTTTTACAAATTATGAATGAGTGAATACGGAATGAGTTTCTTGTCAAGGCTTTGAATGAATGAACCTTGAATGAATAAATATTTTTTGAACATGTATGTTCGAAATAAATATGTTCGGTTCACACTGGGCTAGGCAACGAGCAATTGATTTGGTACCAATCCTATACCCCCTTCGGTGCATTATATAAATTTATACAAAATAAATCCGGAACTGTTATCCCATGTTATGTAAAACCTTGACCACTTGCTCAATCATCCCGTATTTAGTAAACTTTACACAAACTTTACACAAACTTATTTAGAGTGTATATACATATGTATATACCCGTGTTCAGGGTTGTGCATTATTCAAAACTTAATCATCGCAAATTTATCCGCCACAAAAAGTTTAACCGTACCAGTTATTAGGGTTGCCGCGGGTAGTCGTTACCCGACCCGGTACAACTACCCGTATCCGCACGAGATCCCGTTACCCGCTACCCGTTATGAGTTAAAAACTAACCAGCCTTCAGAATAAAATATATTTAATCAATCATTTGGGTTGATATTTAGTTTGAGATAAAGCTATAAAGTCATAATTAACTATGTATGTAGATGTCACTCGTTGTTTCTGAAAGCTCCACTTTTGCAGCACATTTTTAAATAAGGTGTGTCAAAGAGTGAACTAATCTTGTTACTAAAATATTTCTGACAAGGGAACCTTTTATAGTGCCCGGAGCTCCCAGCATATCCAGTATATACATTAGACGCAGTTTTTAATACTCCTCCTATGATGTGACAAAATTTCCTTGTCAAAATGACATTTGGTCAAGCTGTGACGATTTTAGTGACGCGCCGAACGGTCACTTTCTCCGATGATTTCAATAGCGCAATTACATACATACACTTTTAATCACACGGTCCTCATCTTGTTTCTGAATGCTCAACCAATTTACTCACTGGTACTTAATTTAACTATATTTACAATATCATTACAATTTACTATTTATGTATAGCTTATGAATATTATTTTTACATTTGAATTTAAAAGTTACAAAATGTTCACGCCTACTTTTTGGAGAACATTCATAAGTAGTTGCTGTATTCTTTCCGCACAGTTTTCAAACTCCAATATTTGAAAGGAAAAAACAATATTGAAAACTTGTAAATAGTAAACAAATTGTAATGATATTCTAAATCTATTTAAATTAGGTGTCAGTCTTATCGGTGGGCAAATGAGTTGAGATTTCAGTGAGATGAGCGGGGAGCGTGTAGTGAAAAGTTGAACGGGTATCTTCGCTACTAAAAGCATGACAAAAATGACCGTTCCGCGCGTCACTAAAATCGTCACAGCTTGACCAAATGTCATTTTGACACGGAGATTTTGTCACATCATAGGACTAGTATTAAAAACTGCGTCTAATGTATATAGTGGATATGCTGGGAGCTCCAGGCACTATAAAAGTTTCCCTCGTGAGTCATACAGATGTATGTAGATAGATCTGCTAGGAAAATAGTGAAAATACATAATATATGTTCACAATTAATAAGTTTTGCGATACCAATAATTAAAAAGGCCCCCCAACTGTAGGCACGAAATGGGGCAAAAGGTGTCCACGAGCCGAAATCGTTCGTCCCGAACCCCACGAGTGTCCTCTCCGCCAAAAATATTTCCCCACAAAGGCCCGTCTTAGGGAACACGTGGCCATACATGACGACAACCGTGGGATTAAGTGTGAGGTAAATTTCTTTAGACACATATTTACACACACGTACTCTAAATAAAAATAAGTAAAATTTTGCCCAATGCGTAAAATTTGTCAACTCGTTGGACAAATTTTGCAAAATTGTTGGATAACTTTTGCCTGTTGGTTGTGTCGTCCTCTTTTTTACTAAACCCTGTGGACTTATTTTTGTTTATGTAGAGTCTTAGGAGTATGTAAATGTCTCGATTAATATACATAAATTAAATTCCAACAGATTTGTGGGAAGGTTGTGAAAGACTTGGGGGTCCACAAGTCCAACGTGCACAGGAATCGGGTCCGTCCAGAGTGCGAAGTTTGCAAAAAGACATTTTCCTGCTCCCAAAATTTACGAGCATACGTGCATATATAAAGACGCATTTCATAACAGATAATAAGGGCACGGATCGTCCCCGGTTGCCGTGTGGATACCCCGGCTGTGGCAAAAGCTACCTGACAAATTCAGAAGTTAGGAAACATGTTGCACTCCGAAAACCCGATCCGATTCAGATGCAAACTTTGTGGAAAGGAATTAAACTCTGGACAAAAACTGGAGTAGCACATTGCTACTCACACGACAGAGAAAAGCTTAAACTGTACCGTTTGTGGGAAGGGTTTCATACATTTATCAAATATGAAGGAGCACCAGGTAAAGACGCACTTCTCTAAATAAATATGGATACACTAAAAAAATATGTTACTCGTTTAAAATGAAATTGGCTCAGAATTAGCAACTAAAAAAATCTACTCTTAATCAAGTCCACCTTACGTTGGATTTACAATGGAACCTTTTTTCAAGATACATCGGGTTATTTCAAAAAATCAAGAAAAAAATTAGGAGTCTTATAACTCATCTTTATATTGAATGGTCCGTTCGAAAAAAATTCCGCGCGAAGTTCAATTTTCTCTCGTCGTTTGCACTATTTATTTATGGTGCAAAAACCAACCCCGACGTGGGAGTTTTGCACCCCGCAATTTACTTCAAGGAAGCCATTCACCGGAAAGATATAACTGAAATTGCCATGCGGCTGCAAATTTTTGACTCAAAATTTTGATAATATTCGTTAATTTAATTTAATTTAATTTATTCATACAATAAGGCACCCTACTATGTAGGACATTACACCTCAAGGATACATTCACATTACGAAGTATAAAATAAGTATTTAAATATTTATAATAGTATATTTTCAAATTCATAATCGTCAATCAAATCAAAAATTTCAATCATTCTTTCACATAATTGTTTCTCAATAAGTATACGTTTTGTTTGTAGTTTAAATACATCAAAGCTAACATGTTTCGCTGAAGATCGCACTTTCTCTGGTAAATTAAGCCAAGCTTGCATAGCACGATATCGAAAAGATTTCTTTCCAATTGTTGTTTTTGGACATGACAAAGGCTTGCAATAAGTATTATTTCTAGTATTAAAGTTAAGACCTTCAAGGTTTAGGTAATTTATAAAAAATGTTGGAGCACATTCATTTATAATTTTGTATGTAAATTTGGCCAATTCAAAGCTACCAATACTTTTTGCTACCATCCAACCAAATTCGTTTACATCGTCACTAATAGTATCATATTTTGATTTACATGTAACAAATCGTGCACATGCACGAATAATTTTGTTGACTGTATTTTTGCTTTCTTT